TTAATATTTTAGGAAGACCCCAGGGGCATCCCAGTCTAATCTGAAGGAAGGGAAAATTAAGCCTTTGTGGGTTTTTTATTTTTATTTTTTAATTTTTTTTAATAGAAGGTTTTTGCCTTTGGGTGTATGTACCCCTAGAGAGACAGAGGGAGAGTGAGAAACACCCCCCCCCAGTGGTGACAGCCACACCACAACCACCTCTCCCATTCTTCTAGAATCTTAGGTGCACACACATGTGCCCAAAGTGATTCTTAAGCTAGTGGATCCAGGGCTCGAACTGCAGTCAGCTGTGTGGGTGAAGAGTGACCTAACTGCCATGCTATTTTTGAGCACTGAAATGACAGGCTCCATAAATCCTAATGGTAGAAAAAAAATTTTTTGAGAGGTTTTTGCTATAGGGCATGTGTGCTCACCAGAAAGAGACAGAAAGTGAGAAATCACTGCCCCCAAGGGGGGATGGCCATGCTGCCATCCCTTCTCTGTTCTCTCAGGATGTGGGCACACACACGTGCCTGGCGCGAGTTTAAGCCACCGCGTCCAGGACTTGAATCACAGCTGACTACGTGGGAGTCCAGTGACGGAGCCATTACACCATCTGCTGGTCCCCTAATGGTAGAATTTTTAAAGTGATTATAGGGGCTGGCCGGTGGTGTGCTGGTTAAGGGCACTGGACTCCTACATGGCCAACTGAAGTACAAGTCTTGGACCTGGTAGCTTTCTCTCTCTCTCTCCATCCCTCTCTGGTCAAATAAAATGATTAAGTAGTTATTTTAAAACAATTGTAGAGTGGAGGCTTTGAGGATAACATGTTCCAGGCTTTGGTGGCTGGATGAAATAAGGAAAGGTACGTTCCCAATATTGTAGAACCAGGATACAGTTTTGTGTGTTGGGAGGGGGTTAGGGTGGGGTTTAGTTTGAGTACCTGTCACCTTTGTAGGAGTTGAGTGAGGAATCAGTGTAAGGTATTCTGAATGGGACAGATGACGTGAAGCATTAGGGGTACACAAAACAAGAAGTAGGCATTTGAGGAAAGCTGGGAAAAAAGCCTGAAAATCCTTAGGGAAACCTGAGTAACAAATTTTTTATGTGGTAGTGAATGAGCCTCTCATGCAAATAAATGCTCTTAAATGATGCAGCACTTGGGAGATTGGAGGAGTCTGACCCAGCGGGGCCCCAGGATCTGTTTGAGCTCCCCGACTTTTGAGCACAGCTTGGATCAACTCAGCATGTTGGCAAGACCGCTTGCTGTATGCTCTGGAGACTGCAGTAGCCTTGCTGGGAAGCGACACCCCTCTGACTCCCTGATATAGTACTATAAAAGAATTACATAGCTTGGGATCAGTAGGTGGCGTGGTGGTTAAGGTGCTGGATACTCCCACATGGCCGACCATGGTTCGAGTCCTGGACCTGGTGGCTTGATTTCTCACTTCAACTCTCTCTCTCTCTCTCTGGTCAAATTAAAATAAAATGAATGAATAAAATTAAATAACTTTTAAAAAGTAACCATTTAAAAAGACAGTAAATAAAAATACAAAACAAATATACAAATATGTACAGTAATATCTATTAAAAAAAATTACATAGCTCTCTCATACATCCTGAGTATGTGATAAGATTTCCTGAAAGTCCCCTGAACGCTCCCCTTTGCCCTGACCACCTACTGTTAATTACAATGCTTCATCCCTATGGTCACAATGGGGGCTGTGCTGAAGTTACATCTAGGCAGAAATTTTCTTGACCTTTGGAAGGCCCTTCAAGACACATTTAACATAAGCTTAAAAATAACTTTTTAGGCCAAAACTGGCCCAGGACACTCCTGCACCACAGTAGCTAATGTTCTAAGAAAATACGTAACAGTGGCGCAACAGGCACAATAGAATGCTTAGGTATACCACAAACACACTTTAAAGTTCTTCATTAACTTGTTAGTCACTTTACTGCCAGTTGAAAAAAGCTGTTTAGGGACCAGCAGTAATGGCTATGTCGTTGGACTCCCACGTATTTGACCGTGGTTTGTGTCCTGGACCCGGTACCTCGCGTCCTGGACCCGGTGGCTTAGACTCATGCCGGGCACATGTGTGTGCATGCCCAAGATCCTGAGAGGAGAATTGAGGAGAATGGGTTGAGGCGTGGCCATCCCCCCTGGGGGGTGATTTCTTGCTTTCTGTCTCTCTGTCTGTCTGGTGAGCGCACACGCCCTATAGCAAAAAAAAAAAAAAAGAAAAGCTGTTTAAAGGATCCCCGCCCTCACCAAGTGAACAATAGCTTCACCCCTTTAAAATAGATAAATATATTAGGATTCCTTGAATTAAGTTTTAGATCCCTACAAAATTATATAAGTATCATTATTGAGATCCATAAGAACTAATAGCTATACTTGAGATTTTCTTTTCTTAGCATCGTGCTCAGTAATCACAAGATGGCTGCCGCTGCATCAGCTGATAATTATCTCTGCTTGCTGGAGCTGCTTTCCTGAAACTGCATTCTGTGAAGTTCCTGAAGACTTGCCTACATCAAACAAACACTTGCTGAATTGTAATAGACCCACCCTTAATCCAACCCTGAATGGAATCTATGTTCTCTATTGTTAAAACTTTATGAACTGATAATTAGAACACATAACCCCTCACCTGTTTACTTGCATGTATCACATTTTCAATAAAAACGCACGATAATTCCTAGCAGTTGTCACTCCACAGAGAATGATCTCTGGGGGGTGTCCGCCTGAGGATGTGCATGAAAAAGGCACTAAGGCCTCAGTCTTTACTTCCTGCGCCGCCTCCAACGAGATAACCCACGCCCAGCGAGGCTGGACCCCTGCAGAAGATGGTGCGTTGTTTTTCTGCACCTGTACCAAGGTTTAGTCAAAGACACTCCTTACACTAAAATGGCCATTGGAGTAAGTCCTATGGTTCACAGAAATGGACTTTCCTGATGGCAGCTTGTCCAGTTAATTGAAAGACCCTCAGGGTTAGCAGGTGGTGTGGTTAAAGACGCAGGACTCCCACGTGGTGGGTGGCAGTTTGAGTCCTGGACCTGGTGGCCTGCTTTCTTTCTCCCCTGGGAATGCATGTGCCCTATAGCAAATTAAAATAAAGAAATACAATTATTTGAATATCAATTTAAATATCAGTAGATGATGTAGTGGTTACATCGCTGAACTCTCACATGGCCTACCATGGTTTGAGTCCCAGACCTGGTGGTCTGAAACACACTGAATATGCGTGAGTGCATGCCTAAGACCCTGGGAGGAGGATGCAGGCGAAGGTCTTCCCCCCTGGTGGGTGCGTGACTTCTCACTTTCCCTCTCAATGTCTCTGTCTCTCCTGACTTGTACATGTGCCTTAAGGCAAAAACCTCTACCAAAAAGCCTCGCTCATGGTATCACTGTTAGGGCAGGAGCTTGAGACTGGCTCCAATTCTTTGTTCATGATTAGCAGTTTCTTTGTGGTCTTTTAATAGAAGGTGTTGAAAGTTAATAAATTTTGTTGTAATCCCCACTTCCATTAGTTGAGGGACAGACACATCTAAAGTGTTCCCGTGTAAAATGGTAATTGTCAGGTTCACAGTAAAGCACCATCTCAAGAAAAAAAGGAAATTTTATTGAGAAAAAGAGTGCCTGGGGGGTCTGAAGCTTGAGGTGCTGCAGCCCCTTCCCCACACAAACACTGAGACTGCTTTATGTATATGGGAGGGGTAGAGTCACAAGAATGGCAGGGGCTTTGATTAGCTTACTTGCCCATCTGTGGGTATCTGTTCCCAGTAAGGGAGGGCTTTGCTCAGAAGATTCTGGCCAAACATCCCTACAACCATCTCATTTTCTTTTAAACTTTTTTTTTTTTTCATTTTTATGAATTATTTATTTATTATTATTTTATTACACGAGTTTTGCCAGAGAAAGAGAGAAAGCAAGCCACCAGGTATGGAACTTGAACTGCAGTCAGCAATGTGGGAATTCCAGCACCTTAACCACCACACCACCTGCTGGCCCTGCATTTTCTGATGGATCTAGCAGTAATGTTTAAACACCACCTCATCCTTGTATTGTTTGAGTACATAATCTCCAATAGATTCTTTTTTTGGGGAGAGATTTTCGCTACAGGGTGCATGCGCTCGCCAGACAGACAGAGAGAGACATAGAGACAGAAAGAGAAATCACCCCCCCAGGGGGGATGGTCACACCGCAATCCCTTCTCCTCCATTCTCCTCTTGGGATCTTGGGCACGCACGCACACGCGCCCGGTGTGAGTTTTAAGCCACTGGGTCTGGGACCCGAACCGCCTTCGAGTAGTGGGAGTCCAACAACATAGCCATTACACTAACTGCTGGTTCCCCCCACCAATAGATTCTAAATTGAGGATTTTTTCTGCCTACTCCTTTAATTTCCTTGTATAGGGATTTACAATATTCAGTTCTCCTCACCATTAATTCAATTCCTAGTTCCAGTTTCTGTATCAGTTCCTAGTTTCACAAGACTCAGAAAGATCTGTCCTACTTTTCCATTTTTTATGGTTGGTTTCTTCAGGCTTAGTTTCAAAGGTAGGGTCTCCTCATTGGCCAGATTCACCCAATCTCTGGTTAGTAAAGATGCGATTCTTGGTTAGACAGACTAAAGGATGAGGTAAAATCTTTGTAAAGGACATATCGTTGATTTTATAAAAAGTGGCTTCAGTTGAGAAGAATCGGGCCTAAAATTGGTGACTCAAGTTTAAAAATTACATTCTGCTCCCCTTTCATACGGAGGACTACACTGAAAGACTGCAGTCGTCCATAGGTCCACTAAGCACCTGCGGGCGCATATCTGGGGAAGGAAGATGAAAGGACGCGCACGTACCCCCGACCGCCCACTACGAAC